GATTTCAGCTACCAGAGGAGACTTGAGGTATAACTGCATGGCGTCCGCAGTTCTGAAGTCTCTATCTATTTTATCTTAGTTGTGTGTTTATTCCCAGACAGCTTTATTTTATTCAGACCTTTATTTATATTTATTCTAGAAGCTCGTGCACTTTTGACACCAATTCTGGGATGGTATTTAGACACCGTTATTTTATGGATTATTTCACTATATTTCAAACTTTGCTTCCGCTTTGTTTCCTTGATTATTAATAATTTAAAAATTGTTTAAAAATTGGTTAATATTATTCTAACGTTGGCTTTCCTAGCAAGTGAAATATTAGGCCTCATCATGGTCCGAAGGAGGAAATTTCGGGGCGTGACAGAGCTTTAGTAGAAAATATGAATGGACTTTAGGGCATTTGCCAAAGCTCTTCAATTCTGCATTAACAACCAAATTGAAGTTCAGGCAGCATTCTATGCTCTTAATTGGTGTAAGCAAAACAATGTAACCAACTGCATCCTAGAGATGGATTCTCTTATGACTGTCAATATGATGAAGGGTGTTTATAAACCTCATTGGGAGCTTACAGATGACATCAAGTACATGACTCAAATTGCACAATCCTTGAACATAGAAGTCCATCATTGCTACAGAGAAGGAAATGAAACTGCTGATGCCTTAGCCAAATTTGGAGCCAACTCACAAATTTCTACAGAGGCAAGGATTTTCTCTCAAGTTTTTGAATTACCACCTGAAGCAAGATGAGCGTATCAAATGGATAAAGCACAATTCCCATGCTTTAGAATTAGGCATATGAGGAGCGGTGCAAACTCTAATGGTGACTGTTGCTGATCCAGTAATGTATGAATCATACTGGCAAAAGATGGGCAACATGTGTGATATTACATTCAGTGGTTATCAATCATTGAGTTATTTTGCTAATGCCAAGTACTTGTGCTGGTTCTTGGAGCCAAAACGAGAAGAAGAGATCAAGAAGCTGCACAATGTGTTTGGAAATGCAGTTGTGGATGATCATTACGTCGTCGTTGGGACAGGATCAAGCCAGCTTATTCAGGCTGCACTCTATGCTCTTTCTCCTACAGATGAACCTGAACCAATCAGTGTAGTTTCAGCTGCACCTTTCTATCCAGAAGTGACTGATTTTGTGCGTTCAGGGCTGTACAAATGGGCAGGAGTTGCAAGAAATTTTGAGAAAGATGGACCATATATTAAGTTCATTACATCTCTAAATAACCCATATGGGTTTACTCGAGAGATTGTAGTTAATGGAGTTCAAGGGACATTAATTCATGATTTTGCTTATTATTGGCCACAGTACACTGCTATTACCTCTCCTGCTACAAACATGTATTAATACGATTGACATTATGGCAAGACTTTATTGATTTTACATCCAAAAGTGTGTACTACATTAAGGATAAGGAAAGGAATGAATATCAATAGAGGACGTTGATCTATGACGCAAAATTTAAGGTTGGGAGGAAACACCAAAGGTAATGGCGTGGATTTCATTCCCAAATCTGTTACCAACCTTTTTCGCCAAGGAGTGTCTATTTTCTTTGGCATCAGCTGTGGGTAAGCCTCTTCATCTTGATATGGCTACAATAATTAAAACGAGGCCTAGTTATGCGCGAGTGAAAGTTCTTGTTGATCTTCTAGCTGACTTACCTAAGAAGGTACGTATGGATATCGAGAATGAGGCAACTGGAGAAGTGAGGACTGAATGGGTGTCCATTAAATATGATTACATGTCCTAATATTGTAAAGAATGCAAATTGCAGGGCCACGACATGATTGGGTATCACGACCCAAATTAACCCTCCGTAAGGTGTCGTGACGACACCTAGCCTTTACGACTAGGTAAGCCTAATATTATGAAAAATGTAAAGAAAACACAACATTTTAAAGATAAACAACATATTGTGAATAACCAAAAGTAGTACCACTCGGCATATACAAAATAATTTTCCAAAACCCGAAATATCACTAAGTCACAAGCTGCTATAATCTATGTAGCTCTATACAAAAGTCTGAAGATAATAAGGAAAATCTCTAAGCGAGGGAGTAGAAGGGGACTCCGAGGATCAGCGGACGCAAGTAGAAGTACCTTGAAGTCTCCTAGAATCAGTAGCACGCACTAACCCCGAGGCTGATAGCTCGCACCTGGATCTGCACATGAAAACATGTGCAGGAAAGGGCATGAGTACACCACAATGGTATCCAGTAAGTGCCAAGCCTAACCTCGGTCGAGTAGTGACGAGGTCAGGTCAAGGCCCTTCCGGAGTAAATATAATAAATTAAATATTAAAAGATATAAGTAAGGTTTACGGTAACACAGTTAAAGAAATTCTCGAAAATTTAATAGTTAAGGGAGCCCTCGGCTCAGAACAAGGTAAACATAATGGGAAATCTCCCGAGATACCGTCCTGTAGTTCCGAATGAATATACAGTACAGGGAGATCTCCCGGAATATGTCTGTAGTCCTAAAGTAAATATGCAGTATTGAGGGATCTCCTGGAATACATCCGTAGTCCCAAAATGAATATGCAAGACAGGGGGGATCTCCCGGAATACGTCCGTAGTCCCAATTTAAATATGCAACGCAAGATAAAATGGCAGGTAAGGCATCGAGTTGTACCGTTTATACATAACACAGATAAGGAAAGTAGGGACTTAACTAAGCATGGCGCACAGAATGTCAGATAGGAAGTTAAAACACGTAATCATGCTTCTCTAGTCTAAGCTGAACAATTAAACAAATTAGTGCAATTTAATAAGGGAAAGACAGTTTATGATTTAGAAAGGAAAAATAGAATTTTTTGCAATAATAGCCCATGTACGTACTCATCACCTCATGTACACGGCGCCCACACCTCAATTAATATCAAACATCCTAAGGGGAAAGTCCCCAACACAAGGTTAGGTAAACCACTTACCTCGAACGCTCAAATCAACTTGATATCAAGTTCTTGCCACTAATATCCGACTCCAAATGGCCCGAATCTATTCAAATTAATTGCATAATGTAAATATAACTACAAGTAACTAATTTAACTAATTAATTCGAAGCTAAAGCGTGAAGTTAGAAAAAATACCCAAAAGGTCTCCCTGGGCCCACGTCTTGGAATCGGGTAAAAATTATAAATTATGAACACCCATTCACTCACGAGCTCACTCGTCCAAAAATTATCCAATTCCGACACTTATAACTCGATCAAAACCCAAAAAATCAATTGGGGAACTTTCCCCCCAAATTCCCACTCTTTCACTCAAATCCCTTAATTAAATGAGGAAAATTGCTATAGATTAATGAAATATACACGAATTAGAGTTAAGAATTGTTACCCACTGATTTGCTCTTAAAACTCCTTGCAAAATCGCCTTCTCCCGAGATAAAATTCGAATTGGTGAAAAATGGGGAATGAACCCTCGAATCTGCCCCTTTAACCCAGTGATTTCCGCACCTGCGGTTACGCACCTGCGGACAAAATCATCGCAGGTGCGAAGGTCACTTATCCGGGCTGGGGCTGCATCTACGGCCATTTCTCGCACCTGAGGATACCGCACCTATGGTCCAAATCGGCGCATCTGCACATTTCACTAAGGCAGTCAGGCTCCGCACCTGCGCCCACGCCTCGCACCTGCGGGCTCGCAGGTGCGGTCAAACTTGCGCACTTGCACTCCATCACCATCCCCACCAGTTTTGCATCTGCACACTCTCTCCGCACCTGCGTCTCACGCACCTGCGGCCTCCCTTCCGCAAGTGCGAAACACCAGAACCAGCAAAGCCACTAGATTTTGTTTTAAATAAGTCCAATTTCATTCCGTTAAGCATCTGAAATACACCCGAGGCCCCCGAGAGCTCAACCAAACCTACCAACCAATCCTATAACACCATGCGAATATAGTCGAGCCTTCAAACCACATCAAACAACACCAAAACCATGAATTAAGCACGGATTCAAGCCTAAAAATTTAGAACTTTTTCCAAATTCTACAAACGACTCAGAACCACATCAAATCTAGTCTGAATGACCTCAAATGTTACACACAGGTCACAAATGACACTACAAACCTACAACCACTTTCGGAATTCCATTCCGAGCACGATATCAAAATTTCCACTATCGGTCGAAATCGCCGAAAAATTAACTTTCGCCAATTCAAGCCTAAATCTACTACAGACCTCCAAAACACATTCCGGACGCGCTCTTAACCCCAAAATCACTCAACGGAGTCGATGGAATTCCATTCTGGATCCATCTTCACACTGTTTTGACTACGGTCCAAATTCTAAGACTTAAGCTCTCATTTAGGGACTATGTGTCCCAAAACACTCCGAAACTCAAAAACAATCATCCCGGCAAGTCACAATAGCCGAATTAGATATGGGGAAAGCAGTTAATAGGGGTTCGGGGCTCTAACTCTTAAAATGACCGCTCGGGTCGTTACATCCTCCCCCTCTTAAAATAATCATTCGTCCTCGAACAAGTATAAAGACATACCTGAAACTGTGAAAAGATAAGGGTACTGGCTGCGCATATCCTGATCGGTCTCCTAAGTCACCTCCTCGACCGGCTGACCCTCCAGTGAACCTTCACGGAAGCAATGCTCTTTGATCTTAGCCTTCGGACCTGCCTGTCTAAAATAAACACTGGCTCCTCAACATAAGATAGATCCTTGTCCAATTGAACTGAGCTAAAATCTAACACATAGGACAGATCACCGTGATACTACCGGAGCATAGAAACATGGAATACCGGATGAACTCCTGCTAGACTGGGAGGCAGGGCGAGCTCATAAGCAACCTCCCTAACTCGATGCAACACCTTAAATTGACCAATGAACCTTGGGCTCATCTTGCCCTTCTTTCCAAACCTCATAACGCCCTTCATAGGAGAAACTCGGAGCAAGACTCGCTTGCCAACCATGAATGCCATATCGCGAACCTTCCGGTCTGCATAACTCTTCTGTCTGGACTTGGCTGTGCGAAGTCTATCCTGAATCACCTTCACCTTTTCCAAGGCATCCTGAACCAAGTCCGTACCCAATAATCTGGCCTCGCTGGGCTCGAACCAACCTACTGGGGACCGATACCGCCTACCGTACAGAGCCTCATACGGTGTCATCTGAATGCTAGACTGATAACTGTTGTTGTAAGCAAACTCCGCAAGTGGAAAGAACTAGTCCCAAGCACCCCCAAAATTATCACACACGCACGAAGCATATCCTCTAATATTTGAATAGTGTGCTCGGACTGCCCGTCCGTCTGAGGGTGAAATATTGTGCTCAACGCAACCCTAGTACCCAACTCATGATGTACAACTCTCCAGAACCATGATGTAAACTGTGTACCCCAGTTATAGATAATAGATACCGGTACGCCATGAAGCCTAACGATCTCACGGATGTAGATTCGAGCTAGTTGCTAGGAAGAATAGGTAGTCATCACAGGAATGAAATAAGCCGACTAGGTCAGCCTATCCACAATCACCCAAACTGTATCAAACTTCCGCTGAGTCCGTGGGAGACTAACAACGAAGTCCATAGTGATCCGCTCCCATTTCCACTCCGGAATCTCTATCTTCTGAAGCAACCCACCCGATCGTTGATGCTCATACTTAACCTGCTGGCAATTTAGACATTTAGCCACATACTCTACTATGTCTTTCTTCATCCTCCTCCACCAGTAGTGCTATCTCAAATCCTGGTACATCTTTGCGGCACGGGGATGAGTAGAGTACCGTGAGTTGTAGGCCTCCTCGAGAATCAACTCCCGAAGCCCATCTACACTGAGCACACAGATTCGACCCTGCATCCTCATCACACCGTCATCACCAATAGTCACATCTCTGGAATCACCTCACCGAACCCTGTCCTGAAGAACTAAAAGATGAGGATCATCATACTGGCTCTCCCTGATATGGTCATAAATAGAAGACCGAGCAACCACACAAGCTAATACCCAGCTAGGCTTTGAAATATCCAATCTCACGAACTGGCTGGCTAAGGCCTAAACATCAAAGGCTAAGGGCCTCTCAGCTGCCAGAAGATATGCCAAACTCCCCAAACTCTCTGCCCGGCGAATCAAGGTGTCGGCCACTACATTGGCCCTCCCCGGGTGGTACAATATAGTGATATCATAGTCTTTAAGTAGATCCAACCACCTCCGTTGATGAAAATTAAGGTCCTTCTCCCTGAGCAAGTGCTGCAAACTATGGTGATCGGTGTAGATCTCACAATGAACACCATACAAATAATGACGCCAGATCTTCAAGGCGTGAACAATAGTTGCTAACTCGAGATCATGGACCAGATAATTCTTCTCATGCACCTTCAACTGTCTAGACGCGT